TAGAGAACCAAGTCCTCATTTCAAAGCACACATCCCATACAGGCTCTGAAAATCCCTAGCTCAAGATGATAAGGGCAATAGCAAATGTATAGAAAGTAATGCACAGTAGAGTGAAGAGGGGTTCCTACAAAAATTAAAATAATCAAATCCAAAAGCAAGAAGGTTTATTAACAGTGTGTGTTATTAATCTGAGTACCATTGCTACATGTAATGTAGCTGCTAAGTAGAAAATAATTGAGCATTTATAAGAGCAACCAGAGTTACATTATTTATTATAAAGGAGAAAAAAAAAAGGACATTTGGAAGGAACATATCATACTTACCTCATAACATGAACATGAACTAAACCCCAGTGAATAAAAGATTGGGAGAAATTTGCATTAGGAGCACTGGACAAGGTGAAGCTATGCCCTGTTCCAATGTTGCTTCTTTTTTTATGTTTCTAAAATATGCTATGATATTGAGAATTTTCAATAGTTAGCTATGTTATCTGAAGTCCAGTGGAGGGCAGATTAGACTTGCATTTTATAAATTAGTTAAATAAATTAGGTCAATTTAGTCTATGATACATGCCTATCCTGCCCTGTTTCTCATTTTTAAAGTCACCAAGGGAACTTGGATACCCAAATTAGACAGTATCTATCTATCTTCCTACCTTCCTACCTGAGTTTACACATGTCATCTAAATGTGAAAAGTAATGAGAATTGATTTACCTTCTGGTTGAAACAATTCAATGTGGACCCCTTGCTTAAGATTTTAGGAAACTGGATACTGGTTGCATAGTCCTTTTATACCTTCTCTCTTCAATACTCTATTCCCTGAATGATACAGGCTAGCTGCTAGCACTGAGTCTGCCCTAGCTCTGTTGCTTTTCATTGTGTCTGTATCCAGCTCCAAAAGGGTCTGGTTCTTGCAATTCCATTATTTATCTTTCATGCATAAAGGCGTAAACTCCCTGGACATTTCTTCAGTGTTTGTTTGTTTTTTTTCCAGTTAATATGATGGGAAAGTGCAGACATCATTAAGAGAATCCAATTATAACCTCAGAGACAAACTTGAAATCTCAAAAGAGATGTCTCCTTGTATTTCTGTTTCTCTGATTTCTCATTACCAGTTATATGTTATATTTGAAATAATAGCTGATCAGGATTGTTTTTGGTTTCTATGCAGTGAGGGGGTAATGTAAACCATATGCACAGTTTAAGGAACAGGGACCAAAGCACAGAACTTTCTAGACCTTGGCTGAGTGCCCTGCTCTCTAAACTAGACAGACAGGCTAACTCTCTTTGTCACCCCATGGATTTTTAGTTTTGGTAGCACAGAGGCCCAGCTTCAACAGAAGGATTCCCTCTTTCCAGCCTATTCCATAGCTGGATAGTTAGCACCATCATCTGGGAAAAGGGGCAATGTTTAGAACACAGACTTACCAATCCCAGTAGCACTTCTCTTAAAAACAGCACGGGTGAAATTGTATTTTACTTTATGCATCTACATAGTGGGTTTCCAGCTGTGTAAGTGGTGTTTTTGGAACTCAGGCACAGCGCATGGTTCTATTCACCTCCCGGTGCAGATGTTGAAGTGTGCATATGGGGTAGGCTACACACTGTTTGACTATGTAGGTATGACCAGTGTATGCATAGAAGTCACAAAACTGTAGCTAGACAAAAATCCATGTGAGACTTTGACAGGGGAGGAGAGTCTACCTATGTTTTTAGATACAATGGCCAAGTGGTTAGAGAACACTCCAAGGAAGCAGATAATGCAGGTTCTAGGGCTCCCTCCCCTAGACAGATTTTGGCTTAATCTCCCTAACTTCCTAGCTCAGTACTCAAACTACCAGGCCACAGGTTAGGCATTATTCAGATGCCCTACCAGCACTCCTTTTGCAGACAAACCTTGAGGCAGCCAAGATGGAGACATATGGAACCAGGGGAATGAGAGCAAGATGGATAGTACATTTCAGATGGCAGACCTAAAGCAAAGAAAAAGCTGGATGCTATGTGTTCCCTGGAAAGGAACCTGGGTTCTGGCTTTGACCCGTTCTCTCCCTGGGGCATAGGCTTACTCACTATTCTCCATCTAAATAGTACCAAATGAAAGGGGCAGTACTTTTTCCTTGGCTCTGCTACACAAACCTATTTTTCCTTTCCTTTGGAGGGTCAGAGTGCTTTTTCTTGGCCTCAATGGCTTATGATCATTATATTGCTCTTTGCAATCCCTGACATTATCCTGTATTTCTGAACAAGAAGAAATGCAATGTACTGGCTGCAGGGTGCTGGGTCAGCGGAATACTTATATCCTTGGGTCTCACAAGTAGGGCTGTGCGAGGCTTTGGACAGTGCTTCGGATCTGGAGAAGCTTCGGACACTTCAGCATCTGAAGCAGCATGTCCGGATCGAAGTGCTGGCTTTGTTAGGCTTTCTAGAGTGGTTTGGAGCTTCTGCAGTGCTTTGGAAAAGCTTCAGAGCCACCTCGGAGATCCGGCCACAGGGTATAATGGGGAAAAATGAAATATCAATAACTTTGTTTTTTCTTCTCAGATTTGGATGAAATTCGCAGGGCTTGTAGCCACTGCTGAGAGCATGAAGCCTGTCAAGATTCAAGAAGATCGGTGCAGGGATTCGGGGGTAACTTCACCCCAAATTCTTGAAAGCAAAACTCACATCATGTTACACCAGCCTGTGTTACACCACAGGGGTGTGAAAACTGCAGGGATGGTGGCCCCTGATGAGGCTGCAAAGCTTGCCAAGTTTAAAGGTGATAGGTGCAGGGGTTTGGGGGGAACTGCACCTCAAGCTGCTAACAGGCAAAACTCGTGACATAGATGACCCTGTGTGCGCTAAGACGCAGCGGGCTGAAAACTGCAGGGCTGGTGGCCCCTGCTCAGGCCACAAGGTCTTCCAAGTCATCTATATCATGAGTTTTGCCTGTCAGCAGCTTGAGGTCCAGTTCCCCCCAAGCCCCTGCACGTTTCAACTTGAAACTTGGCAGGCTTTCATAGATTCATAGATTAAGGGTCGGAAGGGACCTAGTAGATCTTCTAGCCCGACCCCCCGCCAGGGCGGGAGAACAACAAAAAACCCCAAAAAGAGAAACGGGACTCAACCGAGTCCAGCCAGGTAGGCATCCAGCCTCTTCTTAAAGACCCCCAGGGTAGGGGCCAGCACCACTTCCCTTGGAAGTTGGTTCCAGCTCCTAGCCGCCCTAACCGTGAAGTAGTTTTTGCGGATGTCCAATCTATACCTCCTCTCCATCAGCTTGTGCCCATTACTCCTTGTTATGCCAGCGGGCGCTAGGGGAAACAGCGTCTCCCCCAAACCCTTCTGGTCCCCCCTAGTGAGTCTATAGACAGTCACCAGGTCCCCCCTTAGCCTTCTCTTGTGGAGGCTGAATAGGTTCAGGTCCCGCAGTCTCTCACTGTAGGGTCTGCCCTGTTGTCCCCGGATCATGCGGGTGGCCCTCCTCTGGACCCTCTCCATATTGTCCACATCCCTCTTGAAATGGGGCGCACAGAACTGGACACAATACTCCAGCTGTGGCCTGACCAGCGTCACGTAGAGGGGGAGGATCACCCCCTGTAGTGTAACACATACGCGTGACATGAGTTTTACTTTCAGGAATTTGGGGTGCAGTTCCTTATCAGCCCCCAGAACCAATCTTCTTGAGACATGGCAGGCTTCATGCTCTCAGCAGAGGCTACCACTCCTGTAAGTTTCATCCAAATCAGACAAAAAGCAACAAAGTTATAGATATTTAATTGATTCCCCGTTATACCCTATGGCCGGATCTCCAAGGTGGCTCTGAAGCTTTGGAGCTGCTTCAGCCAGATCAAAGTGGAAACCTGGTCTGGAGCTCTGGACCAGATCCCTGGCATTTGAAGTGCCTGGATCTGAAGTCGGATGGAATAGCTGCCTTCTTGCACAGGCCTCCTCACAAGCATGGTGTTCACTTTACCCTTCTGCAGATCCAATGCGATCAACCATTACTACTGTGACATCCCCCCACTGCTAAAGCTGGCCTGTGTGGACACTTCCCTCTTTGAGTTTTGTGTCTTGAAGTTGGCTTTGATTTTTATTGCCTCTCCCTTTGTGCTGATCTTCCTGCCATATATACGCATTGTCTCCACTGTTCTGAAAATTGCCTCTATTGAGTGCAAAAAGAAAGCCTTCTCCACCTGCTCTTCACACCTCATCGTGGTGATATTATTCTATGTCTCTGGCTGTGTTAGGTATCTGAAGCCCAAAGCAGACTACTCTCCAGATATAAACAAGTTTCCTTCTTTATTATACACATTCCTCACACCCATACTAAACCCTATCATTTACACTTTGAGAAATAAAGAGGTGAAAAGTGCTTTCTGGAGAGTGCTTGGGAAAAGGAGGCTTGTCTGAATAAGGGGAGTGATTCCTTGCAAATGTCTCAAGTTCAGTTCTACCTCCCTAGCTAAGGCCTCTGGTCAGATACGGATCATCACTCTCATAAAAATGATCATCTTTCTAATACCAGTGCAATTGTGTTGGTTTAATGATGCAATGACACTAGCATTTACTGAAAAAGAGTGGAGTCTTTCCAGAAAAAAGTCAACACTGGTTTTCTCAGTCTTGAGTTCCACCAAGTAGCAGCAACCACTAGGTGAGTTTTGTGGTTATTCGTGGGCAGATTATTTTTCAGCTTCTTCTTGCAAGAGCAGGTGTTTTGATCGTATCAATACTAATGCAGCCTGTATAACTAGACCTCATTCCTATGTCTGTACAATGAGGATGATAATGATAAGAAATGAAGGAAAAGAATATTTATTTTTTATTGTATGATTTGTTATATATATTAATTTTTCCTGCTCCCTCTATTCTTCCTTCCATACATGCTGCTTATATTTATCTTTTCATTCAGCCTTGAATATCTTCCAAGAGAGGTTACCCAGGTACTGGCTGTAGATAATGAAAAGGAAGATTTAGTTTGGTGTTAGGTAGTGATGCATCAGACAAATCTCTGTCCTCAAATACAACAATGTAAAACTGGGTCACATGCATTCATTTCAGT